GAACTCAGAACTTTTATTTTCTGCCCATTATGGAACAGAAGAAAACTGGCAGAGGCCACATTTCACAATTTAGATGAACCTAAAAATGAATGCAAAGATAGACAGCAAGCACCTTAGACTTTAATGATGAAATTTGGGAAATCTCAGACTGAATCTTCAGAGGAGAGTAACTTGGTACAGTTCATAAGTGGACAAGTGTTGAATGCAGGAATATATGAAGGTGACTAGAAGGAAATAGATGATGTGGAAATTTTTCAAATTCATTGGATTGGTTATGTTAATTGGTATCTACAAATCTAGAACTGAAAATATCTTGCAATTATGAAGCAAAGAAGATGGCCAGCCTCCCTTCAACAAAATTAAGAACCCTCAAAAGTTTCAAAAAATTCTTTAAGTATTGCATTTAATGATGCACAGGCAAAAAAGCCCGGAATGATAAGCTAGAACGTAGCAGAAGTATTTTAAATCTCAAATCAGTATTTACAAAATGGATACATTCCAGGTTCACATGACAGCTGATAAGTAGTCACATTCAGAGTGACTGATTTCACGTACATATACCCTCAAAACCTGGAAAATGTACATAAAAATCTGGGCAACATGGGACAGTGAAACATCCTAAGCTTGAAAGATGTAAATCTACACAGAGCATCAGAAAAGGAATAAGAGCAGAACCAAGATTAACACAAGAATTACAAGAATGGACAAAAGAATTTAAAATTTCTGTCAGAAATACAACTTGTGACAAAATTTTTATAAGTGTAGAACTGGCTTAGTATTACCCAGCAAGAAATTTTCTTGATTTGGCAATATCAGGAAGAATAGGGTTGAACTTCTATGGATTTTCACAAATGGGAAGCAAGAAAAGTCAATTGCACATAATCTGGACTTCATACATATTTGATGATTCTTACTGTCCTAAGAAAAACTAGTTTTTCTTCTCAGCTCAATGCATTCTCAAGCATAAATGAATTTCAAAAACCCTTGCAGGGGCACCTGGGTGGCTCAGTCGGTTGAGCAACCAGCTCTTGATTTCGGCTCAGGTCATGAGATCAGGGTCCTGGGATCAAGCCCCGTTCTTAGCAGGGAATCTGCTTGAGGATTCTTTCTCTCCCTCTCCCCCCACTTGTGCACTCTCCCTCTAAAAATAAATAAATCTTAAAAAAAGAAAAACCTTGCATAAATTAACATGAAGAGGGCCATATTATAAAATGAGACTACAGGAGAGGTAGATACACTCATTAAGAGGGTCAGAACCTATACTTGCAAAGGAATGACTTGAAAATGATGAACTATGATTGATAATAGTGCAGATAACTCTTTCAGTGTATGGGGAAAGCTTCAGTTACCAAGAAGAATCTTCCTCATACAACTAGGAAAAGAACGTGCAGGAACTAGGAAGAGAATTTTGTCTAACCCTTCAACCACAACGTTTTTTTGCACAGATCCTCAAAGTGGGAAGACTAAAGGAAGATGTTCTTTGCGTGCATATAAAAACTTAAAAAGTGTGCATATTCACTGTAGGGGTGGTATGCAATTAGATGCATGATATGTATTTGTTTTTCATGTCTCAAGATATATACAAAGAGACTGTTTAAATTCTAATTAAAAGCTCTAATGAGTTGTTTTATATTATCCCTTTATTCTTCTATAAATTATATAATGAAAATTATATAAAATAATTTAAAATGTAAAAAAAAAAATGAAATAGTTCCTTTAAATCTACATAGTGAATAGCGATAGCTATTTTTCCTGGTATAATGATAGTTAAAAGAGTCCTTAAAAGAAAATTGCTTTGTAGAAATGAACAGAAATTCCAAACACACGTTTGATACAAATTACCAAGTAAATCATTATTTATATCTTTAAAATAACCTGACTGAAAAATCAAATTTTTGAGTCCTTTGAAGCAGGAAAAGATAAACTATCCAGGACTATATATTTAATTAGTGAACATGTCATAAATAAATATATCTCACCTTTCAAAAGTTACTTTTGAAATGTAACAAAATGTTGTCAATAATCTCCAATTTCCTGTCACCTAAAACTATAGTTTACTTTCTATTTACCAAAATTGTTATTCCATTCAGATACATCCCCTGTTGAATTTGTACAGAAAAAAAAAATCTTGGTATGGTTCTAAATGTTCTCTTGAATAAATAAAGCAAGTGTGGGAGAAGAGTGTACAAAAATTATCTATTCCTTTCCTTTGCTTTCCTCTCCCCTACTAAAAAGGCCAATTCTGAATAGGAAAACACTGGACTAAAGAAGCAAGACTGGAATAGATAGCTTAACTGGTACGAATGGGTTGAAGTGGGGATGCTGAGATTTGTAGTTCTCCAACATTTAACTCCCTCAGAACTTTCCTATTAATCACAGCTCATTACCACTACAAGGGCCCTAAGCAAACTTTCAAAGAAGGCAAAGTCTCTGACAACTGCTTTCTAAGCCTCCTCTCCCCTAACCAGCCTAGGCTCTGATGCCAAAGGGTAGCAGCAACTCCAAGTTCCCTAAACTAAGTTGGTCCTGTCCTCCAAAACTGCTCCTTTCCTTCACATCCAAACACCCATTTCTAGGGGACTGCTCCCAATGATCTCATTATCAGATTACTGCAGGTAAATTCATACCAATACCAATGCCAAAATATCACTCCCTACATTACTTGCTAATTGCAAAAGAAAAAGCTTAGCGTGCAAAGATAGTCTGTCACCATTTTATTGGTGAGATCAAATTTAGGATTACTAATAGGATAACAGATAACCCTCCTTTATGTTCCTTCTGATGTTGTATAATGTGAGGTACACTGCATGACTTAAGTATTCTTGCCAAAAATATTCAGCCTGATCTACACAAGCCTTCAGATCTAACTTCAAGTTTACAGAAAATACAGGGGATAGAAGGTACAATTTAAACCTAATGAAGAGGAAACTTAGTAAAATACAGAATGTGGGTTATTCTACAAGACTACTGGTAGCCTGGTCTCTACAAAAGGTCAATGTCATCCCAAAAAAAAGAGAGAGAGAGAGAGAGAGGGAACTACACTAAATTAGAAGAAACTAACAGAAGCAAATGTAATGCATGACTGGACACTGGTTCCAAAATAAGTGACTAAAAAGGACATTTTCGGGACAATGGGGAAAATGTGAATACATACTACATACCTATATTAGACTGTAGAGATTCTTCTTAAGTGTGATTACAGTATTGTAAAAGTATTGTACAGAAAATTGGTCTTACTCTTATATGACATCCATATAGACACATTGATAGAATTGTCGTATCTGCAATGTGCTCTGAAAATGTTCACCAAAATCATGTAAGATAGGCAGATAAAGGAAACGTGGCAAAATGGCAACACTTTAAAAACTAGGTGGTACATATGAAAGTCCAAATGGGCTATTCTTCAACTTTTCAATATGTTCGGGGGAAAAAAATAACATGAAAACTTCAGGAATAAAAAGTTGAAAAGCTAAAAGTAAACTCTTAAAAACAAAAATGTAAAAGGAGCAGTTGAATAGTATTTCTTAAATTTTGTAGGTGAATCTCCTTGCTTCTCCTCAGTCACCTTATTCCCACAAAAAAATGAAATATAGTGAATTGAGCACTGAATGAGGACTCAGAAGACCTAAGTTTCTAGAAATGGTTCTATCACTTCCTAGCCATGACCTCATTAAAGACGTCTCCCTGAGGCTCTCTTTCCTCATCTTTGAAACAGTTCCATAAACACAGACCAATGCAAAAGGGTCTTGAGGTACAAATCAAGCATATCAATGACAGATACAAATTCAAGATACAATTATAACGGTATTTGTACTGATGTTTTAAAACGTCAAGAGCACACAGCACTAACAATTCTCTAAGCAAACCAGTGCCTTCAATGGCATAGCAAGTTTCCACTTCTTAGCCTGAGTTGTCACTAATCCCCCAAGGCAGGACTTAGCACAAATGCTAAGAGGTGGCTTTTGCACTTTAAAAACTCTCTCCTAGGTTTCAATTTTATGTCTAATGGCACTAAAAGACGTCAAATTCTTCAGACCCAGTCCAAATCTGAAAACGATAAAGTTCACGTTCACAGAATTTTAAAAAAACAAATCTCTGCAAACAAAGAGAACCCCTGGGACCAAGGTCTTCCCGTGCTTGCAGAAGCGGGTTCACTTTGACGTTTCTCAACTCTAGCAGATTTCTCCTTAAAAGCCTTCAAACTTGAGCTAAGTTGGGAGGAACTCCCTCCATCTCTAGAGCTGGATAAAACCTCAGAGTGAGCTCATTCTTTCCGTCTCAGTAAGTAAAACCTGAAAGCTCGGTCAGTAAATTGTGTGTCCAACTCCACGTTTCTCCTCAGGGCCCTTCTGTAGACAATAACGGGACTTCTAGGGCAGAGCAGGGAAGTCCCTTTGACAAGAATGAGGGTGTGAGCGTGGGATGACTCGTCACCTGGGCGGGGGGGCGGGGGAGACAAGGGCCCTCGGGCCCGGGATGCCCGAAAGTTCGGAACCCCCTTCGGTCTCGGGCTACCATGAAGACACTCCGGGGAGCGTTGTTGTTTGGGAAGCATGGGTCCCCGCCAAACATCGGCACAAAATGTACGGTGGACCAAGGGAGTAGCAGAGAGAAAAGCCAAACCCAGGCTGGGGCAAACAGGCGCAAGGCCCTGCGAGGCGAGCTGGAGGAGGTGGAGAAGGCGGAGGAGGTGGAGAAGGCGGAGGAGG